AGAGAGAGGGATTGGCGGCATTGGGATTCAGACTCGACATTGGACAGGGACGTTGTGGGGGACTATCTGGGAGTGATATCAGCGACGTTTGGGTTGACGACATTCTCATCTCCTCCCCCACTCTTCTTCGTCTCTTCCCTCTTCTCCTCATCTGTGTATGATCTGTGCCTGGCACCTTCGTCCTTGTGTGTGGCGCCAGGCCATTCACACCATGCGATGATGATGATGATGTATGTCCAGTCTGCATTTCGACATTGATTGGGTCTGATCATTGGTATTCCAGTCATCCGCTGTGCTATCTTGCTCTATCTATGAGAGGTTGGTTCTTGGTTCTGGTCTGTACCATCCTGGTATGCGACAACAACCCACTACCCACATCACCTCACCCCCCCCCCCCCACACACACACAACCTCCTCTTTTTGTTTGTTTCACTCTGCCTCTTCTCTCTCTCCCACACCCATCTTCTTCCCTCCGCCTCCCCCTAACCTGCGCACATTACCCTACCCCACTCCTCTCCTCCTAACTGTTCGCGAGACTAATTCTTTAGGCGAAGGAGCACTCTCGATACCCAAGTGGGGAATTAGATAATGACCCACCTCTTTAACTGACCCACAATTACTTTTGTAAGTTTTGTTTCATTCCTTAATTTCCTCTCAATCTACCCACGGGGCCATTCCCCCGCGAATCTGCACCTTCGACCCCCAGGTGAGGAGACAGACTGCCATCAATTTTTTGTCGTTTCCTTAAACCAGTCGCCACAATCTCCTGATTGCTCCTACTTTGCCTCTCCCTCCATCGACACTGTCTCGATCCCCAGGTGGGGAGGACAAAAATGCTGCCAAATTCGGCCAGAATTCATGCCCTTCTCCAAAGTCGATCTCTCCAACACACGGATCTTATAGACCCTTCCCAACTCTCACATTGCGCTGCCCCTCAGGATCCAGCTACTTGCAAAACATTTGTTTCTCCAAACGATGTCCTTACTGCAAGCTGTTTTCCCTTATTTGAATACGCACCCAAGGCTTTTGCTTTGTCGAACTCTTTTCGAGACTTATTGTTCTCATCTGCTTCATTTGCACTCCCCAGGCGGAGAGGGATTCTGAGCTGTACTTGGTCAAGACGCTGACATTATTACCAATCCCCAGAGGGGAGGGTAATTGCTGGCAAATTTTCCCAGTTTTACTGTTTCCTTTTCCACTGGCTATCGTTATCACACTCTGTGATGATCTGAATCAACTCGCTGGCTCTAATACCGTTCCCCAGGAGGGGAGGGTAAATGCTGGCCAATTTCCTTTCGAACTCATTATTCTACATTGTTTATCATTATTGATATTAGTATCAACACATGCGGTGTTCAACTTAGTCCAGTTTATTATTATTTGTTATAGGTCAGAAATTCCTCACCACACGACTCAGTACAAGGGGGAAAATCAGACAATGAATCAGGCAGGTGGTGTCTCATGGATCTGAAATGGAAGGAGGAAGAATTCAGAATCATCAACGTCTACGCACCAAACAATCCATCAGAAAGAGCAGAGTTCACGCTAACGGTGGGACAATTAATAACGCCACTCTCAGTCTCTATCATAGGAGGGGATTGGAATGCTACCCCGGACCCGAACAATGACCGTATCTCCCGGGCAACATCCACTCAAGCTTCACAGGAAGCGGCGCCTATCCACAAACTCATGATGGACCACAACTTAGTAGACCCGTTCCGTACCTTGTACCTGGGCAGAAAAGCTTTCTCCCTGGTCAAGAAGAACCATGCACATCACACGGCCTTCTCCCGGATTGACTACTTCCTGGTCTCCGAATCCTTAATGGGAACTGTTAAGGACGCGGATATCCTGGATCTTGCATCATACCCTGGGCTGGACCACAAACCAATAGAGCTGATATTCAGTTTTGATCAATACATATCCAGAGGAGCCAGTTTTCACAAGCTTAACAACTCTCTCCTTCTAAGCCAGACTTTTGAAGATAGTGTTCATGACTGCTGGCAAAACTCAAAAGGTGTGTTTCTAGTAGGCCAAGACAGATGGGAATGGTTCCAAGACAGCTACCTCTCTCTATCTAAATCGGTGGCCCGCATCTCTAGGAAATTAGCAAATGATCGGAAGCGAAGAAAACAAATTCTTGAAACAGCACTTAAGATTTCCGAGTTAAACTTGATAAACAACCCGTCCTCGCCAATCTACTCAGCAACCTTCGAAAAATCTCAGGAAGAGCTTGCTTTATGGGGACAATGGGAACTCAAAGGACTTCAACTCAGGGCAAGGATGAATGAATATGAACTGAATGAATCAATGACAAAATTCTTCTTTGCAAGGATAAAGGCCAACAATAGATCTAACTCTATAGAAGGCCTCAAAGAGAGGGCCGACGACCAGTCGACAAGAACGGACAGCGAAGGGATGCTGAAAATAGCTAAGGAATTTTACGAAGAACTTTACCAGACCAAAACCTCCTCTCCCACTCCAATTCCAATAAGAGAAGCAAGATCGGAAATGCTCCAATTCCTATAAAGAACGATCTCCCAGGAACAAGCGGATGTACTCGACAGACCAATTACCTTAGTGGAACTGCAAGTTGCGGTTCAGAGCATGAACAATGACAAGACCCCAGGCATTGACGGCCTGACTAAGGAATTCTAGGAGAAGTTTTGGCCTATGATGGGAAGCGATCTTTTGCGCTTCTACCAAGACAGTTGGGAAAAAGGACTGGGCGAGCTGCTGAGTAGTAGTGTCATGACCTTACTATACAAGAAGGGGGATCAGGAAGACATTCGGAATTACAGACCTATCTCCCTGCTTACCCTCCCCTACAAGATCCTGGCTAAAGCCTTGGCCAACCGGATCGTAAACCTCACTAACAAATGCTTTCACATAGACCTGAGGGACCAGTTCTCTTTGACTGCCGCAGACATCCTCTCGGTCGTTAAGAAGGAGTTATTCAATCTGAAGAATCCCTGACCTGTTTCAACAAGTGAGTTGAAATTGAGCAGCAATTGGATAGGTTTGTGATCCAGACCTTTGAAGGCTGCAAATGGGAGGATCTCGGCATCATTAACTGTGTCTAACAAACTCTCAGATATGAAGTAGTCGATTCTGGATAGTGATGTCCGATTGGCTTGGTTCCTCCTTATCCGGGAAAATACTCTTTTGTCCGGATCCATCGCCCTGAGTGGGTCAACGAGTTTGAATTTTGTCATCAGGCTGCAAATCCGGGTGCCCGCTCTTGTGGGGCCCATTTGTGTTGTTCTTGATATCCGGTCCTGGTTGGGGTCTAGGGTCGTGTTCCAATCTCTTGCGATGACTATCGGTTGCGGGTTGGGGATAAGGGTTTTGATGTTCTCAAAGAAGGTCAGTCTTTCGGATTCCGTGTTAGGTGCATATAGGTTGAGAATTCTCAAGTCTTCTTCTTGCCACCTAATGTCTAACCAAGACTGTCTCCCTTCCTCGCTATTGCCCTCGCTATTCAGGATCTATCCCTCGGTCAGAATCTTGGATGTTCTTGGGATGAGTATTGGCGTCCTTTTTTTGCTTTGGCCTTCTTTGTTGGACCATAGTGCAAAAGCACCCCCCCCTACTGTTCTCTCCACCCTCTGCTGTATCTTGGTGTGACTGTTTAGATTGGACAGGTGGGTCTCTTGAAGGAGAACCAGATCGGGTTTAGGCTGATCTTCTGTCTTCTTCGGTTAGGATGTTCCCTAGGCCATTGACATTCCAACTTGTTATCTGAAGTTCCTTGACGTGCCAGTTGATTCTGGGTGGGCTGACTTGCCCAGTTTTGGTTCTTGTGGGGACCGACATTGACAGGTACCTTTGTTTTTTTTTTTTTTTCCCTCTTCCTTGTCTCTTTTCCTCTAAGTTGTTTATCATTTCCGGCTGGATTAAATGACCGGAATATCCGGCCGCTTTATCCGGCATATGGTTTATCCGGAATTCCGGATAAACCGGAAAATATCTAGAAAAAATGTTTTTTTTTTTTTTTTTTTTTTTTTTTTTTTTTGCGCTGACATAGGACAGCCACAGGTTCAAACATGGGAGTCTTTTGCGAAAAACACATTGAATATCCATTATAGTGTCCCCCCTTCGATTGGATAACGATTTCTTTTTTCTGTTTGATTGATTGATTGATTGATTGATTGATTGATTGATTGATTGATTTAGGGGAAAAAAAGAAAAAAGTGGGTTAGGGGGTTGGGCGACGGGTGAGAGGGGGTTGAGGCGAGACAATCTGCCTCTCACTCCTCTAACTCGGCGTCCTTTCCCCCCCCCACGACCCCCCCTTTGTCCTCCTCCTCCCTGTCTTCTTCCTCCCTCCTACTCTCCTCCTCCTTCGCCTCTTCTTCGTCCTGCTCCCTCTCGTCATCCTCCTCTTTCTCCTCCTCTTCTTCGTC